GCTCTCCAGGCCTATTACAGACAATGAAGACAACTGTGACTGAATTCAGCGGGCTCTGTATTAAGCCTGTGAAGAAAGGATGCATCACACCCCAGTTCTTCTCACATGTACTGGGTCAGTGCACCGTTGCCAGTTCCTCACATTTTCTTTGATAGGCACAGCTTGTGCTCTGTTTCCAAGGGATTAGAAATTAATGATGCAGACTGGTGGGTTTTGGTGAAGTTTCAAGATACTTTTCTTTTTTCAAACATAAATATGATGTGGTATCTATTTTGGAGTCCAAGACTCTTGGACTTTTGAAGAGACCTTGTGAAGAACCCAAGGATCTTCTCTATCCCTGGAGTAGGAAATCTGCGGTGGCTCCTGTGGCCTTCATCCCACAGCCCTGGCCCAGCCAAGGGAAGACGATGTCTTGACACAGATGGATTTTGCCCTTTTTGGTGGAGCATTCAGTTTGCTTGGGCAACACAGACATCTGCTGGATTACTTGCCCAAGCACTTCCAGTAGTGCCAGAAAGGCCCTAGTGCCAGAAAGCGGTCTGAAAAAGATCCAAGGCTGTCATGTAGATTTGAAATCCTATGGGAAACCAGGGGGGAGAGCAGGAAACTGAGCAGCCGTGAGCAAACGCACAGCATTTTGTGCTAGTTAGCGTTTCCCAGGCACAGCCACAGCATTAGCAAGAGCAGTCACAGCGCTGCCCGCAAGAGAGACCCCAGACTAGCCAAGACTGCAGAAGGCACCACCAGAGGTTGCTGTCAAGGGAAAATTTACTGCTGTAGAGGAATCCAAAAATATGGCTCAAACTGACCATTTGCAGACATGCATTTTTCGCCAAGGAGACTATTTGGGATGAAAATGCTTTCTTCCCCTTTCCATCAGCTTTGCTGCACTGCTGGCATTCAGCTGCTGAGACTTGATCTAATCAATGCTCGTATAGGGAGGTTTGCCTGGCCTGGAAGATGATATTATTGAATAGGTCTATCAAATTTGTCAGTGTCTTCGCTGACAATTTTCATGAATATATAATATTGAAATATGGCTTATCCACACTGACTTATTCTTTATAGTGCTCAAAATGGCTTGAAAAAAGTCTTTGTAATTTGATAATGAGAAAGGATAAAATCAGTTAGAGGCATAATTGCTAATATCCAGATCTTAAGAAGGGAATATAAATATTGAAGAATAAAGATAAATAGGCAAATGAATAAACAAGATGAAAACTCCTTGATTGCCTAGACTCTGAATGCAAAAATGCCACCGAAATACCCAACTTCTTCATGCATATAATGGGGAAAGTCACAAAAACATCAATCACAGGACTTTCAGCTCAGACACCACATTCCAAAACATACATTACACTTAAAATGTTTAAAAATGCTTTAATGGAACTTGCAAGATAAAGTGTATTTCTATTGGATTTGAGCGAAAAATCCCATGCATTCATTTATTGACTAAAACCAAATCTTATTTCACAAACTCGATCAATGTCAACAATCTGCCATTTGTTGAAAAGAATGAAAATCCCTCCAAGTCTGATAAATACTTCGGAGTTTCAGAAAAATGAGAGGCCAGAGTTGCACAAACACACACGTGTACAGACGCTGTGCTGACGGGTATTGCACACACAGCCATGGAAAGCGTGGACTGGTGAACCTGGAGAAGCAGACATCGTCAGAGAAGGGCCACCTATGGCTCACTCTCCCAATGTTTGCTTTGCTGCTTTTTGAGCATCTCTGACATTAGTCAGGCATTTCCAATACTACAGTAAATCTTGTCCATGTAAGGTAAGAGCCCTTAAAAACCCAAGGCGATACAAACTTAATGCAAAGATTTACGCTCCAAAGGAATGAGTACTCTCAGTTTTGCAAACTGAAAGATTTGTGTGTTATTTGCAAGTATCAACGGGCTTGAAAGAACAAGAGGGAGCAAAGACACTGATTGAACAGACGGTTTGAATAGTTCAATTTGAAAAAAATAATCTGGCTGTTGGGACTCGTGGTTGTTGGCAGAGCTGCTGCCTTCCTGGGACCCCATGTTGAGCGTGCGGGGGTGTTTATGGAAAAAACCGCTCCACTCAGCTACCACAATCTCTGCAAAGAGCATTTGGCACTACTGCATTAGCATAATATCAATTATGGCCACTGCTATTTTCTCCCCTGGGAAAGTCAGACCATAGGAGTCAATGTTTTTAAAAGTGTGTAGTGCTCACGGTCTTGGTGATTTTCAGTGCCATTAAATGGTAGAGAACAAAGGTATTCTCTGGAAAAGCACAGGCTTGGGGAAATTGCTTCAAAGGCATGACAGCTGAGGAACTGCTGCTTTTTCACACAAAGCTCCCCATGGTCAGGGCAGTATTTCCCTTCTGAGGAGATATGAAGGTGGGAAAAAAATAGCACGTATCACATTCCTGTAACAGCCATCATCAAATATTTCAGGAGTAGAAAGAACATGAGGACAACACGGAGCTTCCTGCTGGGCAGGTGCTGAAGCCTGAATGTTCACTGAGCCTCAGTTTTATATCGCTGTCTTACTTTTCACCAACTATTTCTGAAAGGCTGAAGTTGTTACAGCTTTTTGATACAGTGGTCCCTTTCCCCTAGGGTCTCCCAGCAGGGTTATGCCACAAACATCTGGGGACACTGGAGGCACGTGGATTGCCCTGCATGAACTTGAACTTCCACCCTACATGCTGTTACCATACGTAAAAATGAAAAATTTAAGCAAGAATAGTGAGGTGCAGAAAAAGAAGACATCAGCTGGTGCAGGCGACTGTGGTTCAGGCTAAATCAATGGATGGTACCTGATTAGACCCATCCAGAGGACACAGTCGCTGCCCTCAAGAAATCCATTGGGGCCCGAGCTGTACCAGAAGCCTCGAGGAGCTGCTTGCTAAGGTGCAATGATGGTACCTTTCTGTGCCAAAGAGGTACCTACTGGACCTCACTGCTGATTCACACGTCTCCATCTCTCCCATGGCTTCAGGGGAGTGAGACGCCCTGTCTCCTCTCCACAGGCCCCTGTCACCTCTCACTAGACCGTCTGTTCCCACACTCCTTCTGACCTCTCAGCACTTGAAGACCATCTCCACTACAGACCTGCTCCTCTGTGCTGTAGCTCTGCCCTCCTCCCTGCCCAGTAATCCAGGTTCCTCCTGTGTTCCGTACTCAACTCCCAACCCCTGACAACATTTTGCTGCAATCAATTTTCTTCTACCCACCAACTCTCCTCTCAGGCGTAGGCTGAAATAACATCTCTCTTCTAAGCAAGAGAGATGTTCTCTTCCTCCTGCCCACTTGAGCTGAAGGTGCCTTCTGTGCACCTCTTCCTCTGTGACCCATGACTTGGCTTTCTCTTGTCATCATCGCGTGATCTCCTCCTCCTCTCTAATCCTCAACCTGCCTTTCCTCCCTTCTTGTTACAACTCAGTTGCTCCATGCTTAAGTGTGCTGTCTCCTCTCTAGGTGATGTGGGTCACTGCCATCCTAGAGCTAAACCACCAGACAGTGCAGAGTAGGACAGGTTGCACAACATTTAAAAAGGGGCTGCAAGCCTTCATCTTGACTTGGGGATGCCAGTGCTCTCCTCAGTTCTCCAGCAACGAAAATAAAGCATTTAACACAACAATATTACTTGCCCTTATTTCTAACTTAAAATAAATCATTTTGGCCTGCTTGGCCGTATGTCCTGCCCACCACAGGATACAACCCCAGCCCTTCCAGCCTTTTAAGAAAACTGACTGCTGCCTCCCAGAAAAAAGCTGACAGTAATCAAGGGTTTGGGGGAAAGACAGTGAAGACTTTTCTCTCTTTGCATGACTCTTCACCCATGGAAGGGCTTCTTGGCAGTAGGAAATACCTAGACCATGGCTCATCTTTGATCTTTTGGAAACTAATCCTAGCATTTACTTTCCATAGAAATTTCCACCCTCTGCTTCGTGCTGCAGCCACCCCCAACACCTAGCACTCCTCTGCTCACTGAGACATAATTTATTCATAGCTCTATGTTTTAATCATCATGCACCATTTTTAAGTAGGAACAGAACAATCATTTCTAATGGCCAGGTACCCTATTAACGCAGGGACGTCATGCACAAAGGGCCCTCACAAGAGATGACCAGCTGAATTAACTACTGTCAGAGGACTCTCCCAGTAAGAAATGTTAAGACCTGTGAAACCACCAGCTGTATTTCCCCTAAGCCATGCAGCAAGCTGCTCAAGTAAATCCAGCGATCTGCACCTACTCTCTCTAAATACTGTCAAAACGCGAAAATATCACAAACTTAAGCAATGAATCCATCACCTGACCCATTTTCACAATACCTTCCCAAAGGCTTGACTCCTCAGTGCAAGCTGTGAATATTTGCATGCATGTGTGCACACATACACATTCAATTTCTAAATCAATCCTCCAAGGCAAAGGGTGTAAAAAATGCCTCCCAAACCTCACTAGCATTCACATGTTTTTAATTTCAAATGGCACATAAGGCTATTCAGCCATTATATTTTATTGTTGCTTCTAAAGAACTTAAAACCATTTATCACTTAAAAAATTAATTTTAAGAACCTTGTTAACTTCATAGCTAAACACCAACAGGTAATATTATCTATTATGGCAACGTTTCATGATATCACAGCTGTGCTACACTGTGGATTTTTACTTTCTTAAACCTGTATATCATGATGAAACTATGCATAATCTAGTGCACTGATTCAATAATTTTCAATAATGTCTGCTAATTCTGGCAAATAGTTTACAATTTTTATTTCCACTGTCAGAACACGTGTTTTATGGCCAGAATATCTGTACATTGATAAAAATGGAAGACCATTTATTAAGAAGAAAGGGAGTTTCTAGCAAAAGAAAGAGTAATGTGAAGAAAGAGTTTTCTTAAAGTAAATCAAGAAAACCATACTAGAAGATGAGGACACCTCATCTTAGCAAATGAACGAGAAAAGTGATTTAAACAGTTCTGTGAATTCTTCCAGAATAGGAACCTTACCTGCATAATCTGTTCTTGCATAATGCCCATCTTCTGATTTCGTAGTTGTCGTAGTATTATCTGTGTGAAAAGAAATGTGTTGAATTGCTTGGGGAGCCTGTACTTAATGCAGACTATACTCCAGCTGCCAGTGCCCAGGGAAACGTAGCTTCGCTTGCATGCACAGCATTGCTGCTGGCTGCAAGGCTCCCCTGGGTCTGCCAGGTGAAACAGCAGGATCTGGCTTTTTGGAATGAAACACAAAACATCTTATATTAAGAAAACACAATTTTTTCTAGCAATATGTGATAACAGATTGCAGCTGGGATAAATATATCAGTATGAAGCAGGAATTGTCATTTCTGCTCTATTTGAAGTAATTGGGAGGTTTTAATATGTACCCTGAAATGAACTGCCATGTAGGTGGTTAACTTTAAAGAGATAGGAATAAACTAGAATGTGTTTAATACACCTGTATAGTACAGCCTTGTAAGTAGATGTGCTGAGGATTTATAGGTCAGAAGCTAAGGGGAAAAAAGCTATTAAGTCTGAGCCTCAGTAGGCACTTTATTTATGGGAGCTATTTAAAGACAAATTTTCTTCATTTTTACTTTAGAACAAAACAGAGTTTTTAAAGTCAAGGGTTACAGGTGATGTAGCAGCCCATGAGCTGGGCACAGAGAAGCATGACATTCCTGGAGAAACTTAGAGAGTCTTGAGCTGCTATTGGCAAAATTTCCCTCCTCCCTTTGGCATCTTGTGGGGCCAATGTAGGTCACATGAGAAACAAGCACCAGCACTGTGTTTGGGAGCACGTCTTTGGCCTCCTGAGATTGCTTCATGCTGCTCCACTTAAGGGAGCAACAAAGGATCCATCCTGGGTGACAGGAGGTTTTCTGCTGTTCTGCTCTGACACATACCTGGAGCGCAGAGCTCTGGGCAAGCTGCTCTGGGCAAAATACAGGTGCCTGGTTTTGAAAGCAGTGCAGGGCTGGACAGTTCCCTGCTACTGTTAGCAGGGTGTGGGAAGGGTTACGCACGCCACTCCTCATGCCTCGCTTGGCATCTGGACAGTGGAGGGCTCTGCTCCCTGCTGCAGCCTCCGCTCTACAATATAAATTGCAAGAGTCTAATGGAAATGTAAGAAGTCCCAAATAAGAAGCCAGTCCCAGTTCTCTTTTTTTCCCCGAACAAAAATTGAAAATATTCTTTGAAATGAGTTTTGTTATGAGAGTTACCTTGACATCGACCCAAAGACATGACTTCAATTTTCTCCTGTTTCTGGCATGATGCCTCTTTGATTTGACATGCATTATCATAAGATTTCCCATCGGAAGCACAAAGAGGATTGAAGTTGGTTTGAGAACAGTCAATGTTGCACACACACCTGAAAAGATAAAGAAAGAGAAAAAGGAAGAGGCTAATATCAGAAAGATTTTTCATGACATCATAAATACTTCTCAGAAATAAAAGTGTTTGTATTTTTCTGACTGCACAATGCAAATCAACACAATGAAAGTGGAAAGTTCTATCAAGAGGTCATTTGTATTTCTGGGTGGAAATGAAATGTGGGAAGAGGGAGGAGACACAGAAAAGCAAGCAAAAGGAAAGATAAAAAAGCGGGTTATACATGGAAAACTATGCCACAGCATTACCACTTGTAAACCAAAGAATACCCAAGCAGATATGCAGATAATTCAAGTTGCTATGCCCTCTTGCAATTAAAGAAGCCACAAAATTCACCTCTGTTGAGGTGCTGCCCATCATATGTAACACACTATAAATGTGGTTTTATATTGATTTATGATTTAATTCTGATAATAATTACAGCATGTATAGGCACTCTGATCATAATAAAAAATGTGATAGTGAAGCCTTATCTCACCCTACTGTGATAAAAACACCTGCCAAGACTGAGAGTGACAGTAGCGATGCGACTGTACTTGCTCTGTGCCTAGGGGTGGTGGGAACTCCCCTAGCTCCTGGACGTGCTGAGGCTACTCAGTATTAGAACCAGGGGAAAGACTTTGTGCACAAGCACTTCCTGAAGCATTTGAATAACTCAGCAACCAGAAAGTGTTACCCAGGTGTCACTCAGGAAGGTCAGTGCCCACCCCCGACCTGGCTGCATGCTCTGAGCTGGGTGAAGGCTCCCACGGCTGAGCGCAGAGCGTGGGCAAGTGCGGATAGGGCAGTGGCAGCCTTGTACTCAGGGAACTTAGGGGCATCTCCAGAGCCACAACGACCCAGCTTGTGAGCTCCTGGGCTGCCTGAGACGTAAACCAAAGCACAGTGAGGGACTGACTTCAAAAGCCTGGTCCAAATCTGAACTAGCACACTAAGGTGGACAGGTCCTGATCCCAGCAAGCCTTGCCTTTGCTCATAAGAGGGAGAAACCTAATTACTTCCATCAACAGCAGGCTGCAGCCTTTTTTCTTTAAGGTTTCTCCTATTTCATTATCATTAGTGACGTCAGACACCCTTGGGCATCGTCAAGGGAAAGGCATGCTAATCTTCTGTCCCCCCGACTGTGCCATGTAACAGACAGCTCAGCCTCAGCAACGCTTGCGTTAACACCGATGTGGTCCTGCTCGGGGACAAAGCCAGAGGTCTAACCTGGCAGCTGCCTCAGCTCTTCTGAGCATGTAATTGCACACATGCTGCTATCTAAACTCTTCCTGGCTCCTTCTGACATTTAAGGCAAAGTAACGTGACTGACGCTCTACCTCCAGCCCACTGGTTGCACTGAACGTCACAGCACCAACTCCACAGCAGTCCCTTTGGAAAGTTAAGTAATGGAAATGTCAGCCTCTAGCTTTGCTGCTTGATTTAAGAAAGTGTTTAAAAGTCAGTTCACCTCCCATTCACAGCAGACATCTGGACACCTTCGACCACTGCAAGTGTAGAGGGATATACACAAGAGAAAAACTTCGGTGGAAAAAGGAAGCATAGGAAATCAGACACCACCTTTGGCCTCTGGCCTCTACAAACACGTACAGGGTGATGAAAATCAGTGGAACCAGTACTTGTCTTCCTTTAGACCTTCTTTGCATTGGGTAGGTCTATTTTCCCCAAATGTTCACAAAATACAGAAAACTTCAGGTCAAAAAGAGGTCAGTTAAATTGATTTCATGATTTCATAACTAGTGGAAGAAGAGTCTGGCTTCGCATTAACAACTTTCCCACACTGATGAACATACAGAACATAAGAAAAAGATCGAGTCCATTTCCTAAGAACTTCCTTATCAGCAGAATAAGAATGTTCCGCTCCACCAAAATATTAATTGTCATCATTTCTTCCCGCAGCCATTTCCAGCTTCCCACCTTAGTCAAACTCACTTCATTAGGAAACATTTACTGCTCAAGTAATAGTAATTCGTTTCACGTAGTTCCACCATTTGCATTTCAGATGGGACACAACCGGCCATATGCTCCTTTTTTTGTAATAAACCAGCTCAGAAACAGCTTCACATCTTTACATTTTGCTACAAAAAATGAGTGTAGGTTAATATGTATTATATCTCACGTCAAGACAAAATTAAGTCAATGAGAAAATTAAAACAAAAGAGTGGTCTTTAGGGGAAATCTAAGCAAGTTCAGATGCAACTTCAAAAATGCCTAGGGGACGTAGGAACCTATGCTCAGAGTTAGCCACTTGAGAGCCATATTTTTAAAGGTGTTTAGATGCTTAAAGATGCATGCAAACACTTTGTGTGGGATTTTTGAAATCTCAGAGACCTACCTCCCACTGATTTGAAAGACCATTTCAGAGCCCATTAGGCATTTAGTTGCATTTTTTGATACCTTCTGAAAAACAAAGTTCCAAATTTACTTTTCTGACCTCTTTCAGGAAAAATGGGAAGAGAATCAAGATTTTTCTCAACTCCATTCTAAAAACTTAGCTGTGAGATCAGCCTTTGTTTCCAAGCAAGATCTCTGTAGCCATATGCTGCATTCAGAAGACACACCACATGAGCACCACGGACCATGCGCCACTTGTGCTGATGTCAGATTTCTCATGTGCGAGGAAGAGCAGAAAGGGACAACCTTGGGATGACACTATTTGCTCAAGTCTTATAGGATCTCCTGTGTGAAGAGTGATTTTTCAGGGTCGACTAGCTGGGCAGTGAAAAAACACTATAATAAACCTGTCACCTGAATCTCCTCGCTGTAAGGATCTATGTATCATCCACCCCTTGTACAGTTTTCAGTGGACAGCTTCTAGCTTGCATCTGCAGTTTCTTACTGCTTTTGCACTTATATACTCAAATCCTACTTTAAGGCTTCACAATTAAGTCAACAACAAATATATGTCAGGAAATGCCAAAGGTAGGATTGCATCAGGAATATTAATGTGCCTGGGTTGCTGACTCTGTTTAATTTATAGTGCTCATCTTATCAGGGAAAATGACAGTATATTCAAACACATTTTTTCAAACTAGAGGAACAAGCAGCCTGCCATTTCAACAATGCCCTCGAAGTCCAGAAAAATAAATTACAGAGAATTTACTCTAAACATGTATGCCCAGACATGTGCAGCCACAGAGCACACACCATCCTTGAGTGGGATCCACTGTCGATGTAATAAGTACATAACAAATGGCACTTAATATATTTGATTGAATGAAATCCTGTGGCCATAGGTAAAGTGTCTTCACTTCTTGAAGCATTACAAAAAGCAGAAGCGGGACTGTCTCCTATTAAACAAGCAGAACCAAACTGTGATGTCCCTGCTTGGCACCCAGGGCGTACATTAGGTGGGAGTACTAATGGTGTACAAGACTTCAGATGCTGTGGTTCCCTGCCCCAAAAAAAGCCTCACCCCAAGACTTGTCATGCCCAGAAATCCCGTCCTGCTCCTAGCTAGCACCCAGCGCTGGTGCTTCCCCTCTTACACTCAACCTGCAACCTGGCCATGTCCAGGCTCTGCCCCGTCACCTTCTCATTCTTTCAAAAGTGACAAAATCAGAGTAGCCTCATCTCTTCTGGTTGTTGGCTGTATGAGCCCTAGGGCTCCCCCCAGATCCCCCTGCCCACACAGGGCTGGCAGCACACATTCGGCTGCCATGTGGCTGGCCAGCAGGCCGGCTGCCTGCCTGCAGCTTCTTGGTCTTTGAGGCACTTCAGTATACCTCTAATATTAAGTAATTTGATCATTTGATCATTTTATCATCCTGGCTATGACTTCTGATTATAGTTCTATCAATAAATCTATTTGGTTTCTGTGTTCCTAAATGTAGTGCTGAAGAAAGCTTGGCGATATAAAGGCTGACTGAGCTTTCCTCAGGCTCAAGAAGCTGTGAGAAGGTCAATGAGGTCTCCTAGGGGGTCACAGGATGAAACTGTACCCGAGAGTATACACAAAATACATATGTAAGGCTTAACTATGTCTTCTGCAGTCAGAAAAGCTTTAAAAGCATCTGTGAGGAAGGAGTGCTTCCAAGACGTCAGCTGATACCCTGCAGCTCCCCTGAGAAAGGAAGAAATACTGAATGCTGTCCCACAGGCCCATCGCATCTTTCAAGTAATGGGCTCATATGTTAATTGACTAAAATTTGGGCTGTCACTGTAAACAATCATTAAACAAGGCTCACTTTCTTATGTCTGTTCTTCCAGGTCATTATGATAGTCTCTGATGAATTCCACTTCTCTTATATGCTTTATTTTATTCAATTTCATTTCATATGATGAAAATCTTGGAGGAGCTGAACATCCAGCAATCCAGTTAGTTATTTTGATCACGAAAGCAAAAAAATGAAAACAAACTAAAGACTGTCCAACGGGCAAACTTGGGGCACCTCCTTGGGGGATTTTGGGCTAACTCCCCATGGCACATGCTGCAGCACTGCTTGGTGACATTGCTGGACGCCCTCACGAGAACATCACACCCAGGCAGAAACTGGAAGGTCTCTGCAGACAGAGGCACAGCTCTGCAGTTAATATACTGGAGAAGCCCGTGAGGCTGCCTATGGGAGGGCTGGCAGAGCTGAACTAAGCCTGAGGCAGGAAAGATGCTGACAGGCAGCTCCTTGTGCCTCACTACTGACTTGTAGGGTGCAAGTCACTGCACTTCAGTTTTTGAGCTTCTGTCAAGGCAGCAACTGCAATAAATGTATCAAACAGCACAAGGGAACCCACATGCATTTTGGGACTGGTTGCCACTATTTCACTTGTGTAACATGCTTCTCCCCTTCCCAGGGAAAGGACAGAAGAGTGCACAGTAGACCAGTAGTTATTTGCTGCACAGATCTTGACCACGAAAAAATACTGGCCAGACCTCAGAGAGGTCTATGTCCCAGCAGTGATGGCAATGGGCTGCATTATGCTGCTTGGCCAAGCTGGAGCAGCCAACTTGGCTTTCTGTTGAATCAGTCTCTCCAAAAATTA